AGTATTTCCTCACTATAGCTCCATTTCAGAACGATATTGTATATCCTGTGCCATTATATGTTGGAAGTATGTGATCTGCATTTTGATTTTGATTTTACAGGGCATAACAGTTAAGAGATTGCATGAATCTTAGAAGAAACTTTAAACTTTGGACTTTTAAATAAGTTTGAGACTGTTATAGACTATGAGAACTTTGAAAGTTGGACTGAATGCATTTGTATTTAATATGGCTACAAGTCTTTGGGGACCAGGGAGTGGTGGTTTGAAAGAAAATGACCCCCAGAGGGAGTGGCCCTATTAGGAGGTGTGGCTTTGTTGGAGTAGGTATGGCCTTTTTAGAGGAAATATGTCATTGTGTGGTCAGGCTTTGAGGTCTCCTATGCTCAAGCTATGCCTAGTTCAGTTTATTTTCCATTGCCTGCAGTTCAAAAATGTAGTATTCTCAGCTCCTACTCCAGCACCATGTCTACCTGCACACCACCATGTCCTACCATAATGGTAATGGACTGAAATTCTGAACTGTAAGCTATGGTATTTAAATGTTTTTCTTTGTAAGTGTTGCCATGGTCATGGTGTCTCTTCACAGCAATAGAAACCGTAATAAAGACAGTGATTAACTTACCATAAAAAAACATGGTTAGATTTATAAATCTTAGTATGCTTTGATAAGTCGTGGTCTCAGAAGTCCAAAAGTCACACACTTGCTACATATTCTTTGTAGAGTCATTTCTAACTTTTCTTGGATTGTTTAGAAAGAAATTGTATAAGAAAGAAACAATAAGTAAAATTAAATTCCTTGAGTTCAAATTATCTGATAATATATTTTAAGTGACACTTGAATGTATACCTTTTTCATGCTTAGTCTGTATCTGCATCTAGTGTATATAGCCTCATTTATGTATGCTCAAATATTTGTTGACCAACAGTTGTGTGATATTTCTGGAGAGATGTAAATTTAACATCTGCTCCTAATTTCTGACATTTCCACATCTCAAAGAATTCTTTATTAAGATTATCTTAGTGAATAGAAATATATTTACTAGAGATTACTCATAGAGCAATGGAAGTCCAGTCATTTGCATGGACCTCTCTCCTGAAGTTGCCCCACCCTCTCTCACCAAGCTCTTATTACCTTGGCTTTGTCTGCTCCAGAATTAATGGAAACATTTGTTCCTACCACCACCTAGTGGGAAAGCAGCAGAGGTGACCCCAGGATCACACTGATAAGAGTTAGTGTGTTTGTGTATACTTTGCCCTTGCCCTTAAAAGGGGTTCTGTTGGTTTGAGCCAACATTGTTCACCGTGGGAAGGTTAGCTTGTTTTGCCGCATTCTGGCATGTTGGACATTTGGGCTTGTTGTAAGATGGAGTGACAAGAATTCAGAGGTCTAGGCTCGATTACCAGATTATACACATCCCAGACCAAGCATGGCTGCCACACCTTGAAGGAAGCACTGTACATGTGTTAAAGTAAAACATAATTCCTGAATGGCCATGGTGGTTAACATGACCAGGAACCTGTGGCAGCTCCTTCACTAGACCTTATGTACAAGCGTATATGATTAAGAGCTCATGCTGTGACGAAGAGTGATAAAAAATTGTTGGTACACTTCTAGGATTGGATGATGTTTTGTCAATATGCTGTTAGAAGATGCCACAGATTGAAATTGCACCAGAAGGAAGAAGGATACAAAATTACATCAGATTTTATTAAATGGAAACAATGTAACAATGCTGCTTCCTGGTGAAGGGCTGAAGTAGCAATGGAGTTCCTTGAGTTATGTTAGAGTCTGTTCTTTTTCAAACTATTAATGTTTAGATTTTATAAAATGAAGTTTCTGTCAAAGGGAAATACTTTGAAGGAAAACATCCAATTTTCTAGTCTAATCCTGATAATTTAGGAATAAGAAGATTTGATATATATATATGGACTAAAAAATAAAGGTGTTTTTGGCTAAAAAAAAAAATAGAACATTTAAGGTGTCAAGAACCAAGGATTATGGTTTTTAATTTTGTAATATTTCTCCTGGAAGACACAAAATGTTAAATAAAATATTCTAACAATGTAAGGAAGGACCAGGCAAAATGAAAACACAGCCACCTCCCACCCCCCACCTCAAGCAAAGAAGCACGTTCCCTCAGCTCTTTATTGTGACTATTGGTATCAGGTGACATTGAAAAACTCATTTTATTCACAGCTAAGCCACAGCTGGTAACTTGATCCCAAAACGTCTTCATTAAAGGGTATTTGCAGTTAAAAAATAAAAAAAGCTGTTCCTCCGACCAGACTGCTACTTGAGCTGATAGTTGCCATTTTAAAACCTAATGTCACATAAATTTTCCTAATGAAAGCTAAGGACTACAGGACATTTAAAAAGGATGAACCCTTAGTCATCTTAAAGTTCAATTTTGAGAGTTTTACCCTTATAATTGTGCTTAATTATCATTAACACAAAAGATGTAGACATGTCAATAAACTTCTTTTTCATTATATAAAACACATTTTTTTCTCAAATCACTAGCTCCTGTTGGATTAAAGTATACTTTAAAGTCTATTTCTAAATACTTATTGTCCCTTTCAGACCTTTTAAAGGATCTGAAACTTACTGCAGGTTCAGGAGTCTCTTGGTGGCACCACGAAGTGTGTTTGTAAAATGACAACAGCTGTGCAGCCTGCACAGATCGCATCTTGAGACGTCCAACACAGAAAGGGCATCATAACATTTCTTGGAAGGAAAATTAATACTGAGATATTTTATTCTCTGTTTTCCCCGTGAATGTGCCAGTATCGGACTGAAGCCACAAAACCTTTGCAACTGTCCAGATGACAGGTCCTCCAGAGGAGCCAAGTTGAAGACTCAGTTATAGAGACTATGTCTCTCTGCCTGACACAGAGTCTGCTCTATCATGGCTTTTTTTCTCAGAGCATCCTAACCACATCAGTAAGGAGGCATGGGCTACCTAGAAATTGATATTTAGCTATTGATTTTTTTTTTTTTTAGCATTTTCACTTATTTACAAATAACCCCAGTGTTTTCATCTGTCATACACAACCTTGACTTCAGGCTGGGTGTAGTGACATAGGCTTTCAATCCCAGCACTCGAGAGGGAGAGACAGCCAGATCTCTGAGTTTGGGGCCAGCCTGGTCTACAGAGTGATTTCTCAGAAAGACAGGGATACACAGAGAAACCCTGTCTCAAAAAACAAACTAACACGCAAACAAACAAACAGAACCTTGACCTCACTTGTAACTACTCAATTCGTTCAGTTTTAAGTCATTTCTAAACTTCTGATGAAATAAATACAGCAGAAAGGGAGGTCAAAACTTGGAATTATCTCTTGTCAAATAAAACCCCTGAAGATTCTGGGTAAGGTGTCTGGGGAGAAGCCACCTGCCTGTGACACAGTGCAGGATAGGAGTTAGAATAAGGAAAATACTGTGTTCCAAGAGAGAAAAAGAGGGAGAGCTTCAGAGCTTCCCACAGTCAGAGCTAGCACACCTGCAGAGCCCAGAGAAGATGGGAGGCACTGAGAAGCCAGACTCATGACCTGGCTGGGAGGGGAGCAGAAGCTTGATCCAGAAAGAAACTGGGTGGCCTGGGGATAGAGACCGGCAGGCCTACTCTGTGGCAAACACACAGCCTTGCCACGTCTCAAGTCCTACTCTGGTAGATGGGTGAGCAGTGGAGAGGAATCCAATTTTGTCATTGTTTTATAAAAATTAAAAAAAAATGATTTGTGTGTTTGTGTGTGCCCACTTGTGTACATATTTGTGTGTTTCTGTGTGCGTGTGTATTTGAGTGTGCACCTGTGTGTGAGTGCCATGAATTCCTCCACATGGAGTTGGTGTTACGGTGTGAGCTGCCTGATGTGGGTTCTGGGAGTAGAACTCCGATCTTCTACAGGAGCAGTTCTTAGCCACCGAGCCTTCTGGTCCCCACCTTTTTACCATTGTACATCAGTTTCTCAAGCTGTGAATCCCACTTCCATACGGCATGACTTAACTAAATGTGGGATTGGGAAATGTTGACAAGAGCAACAGGTTTGTGTACATGCAGTGGGCAAGATTAATTCAAATGTGCACTGAGTCTGAGGTGTTTCTGCAGTGTGTACCATGTGACTTCCTCACACCTATAGTTCTGAGCACACAATATGAGTATTTTGCACTGATTGAGTTCGAGCACCATACAATCTCTATGATGCTCCTGAAACACCTTGGCTCAGAGTCTAGGCTATTGTTGGCTCTGCTTACAGCATTTTCCCTGTACATATGAGATTTTCTGTTCTCATAGAAACATGATACCTTAATTTTGGAATGTAAAGATTTAAATATATTCTTATTTTCATTATCTAGCATGTAAGAATCAAGTTAAAATATCTTTGCATTGCATTATGTGAGAACATTCCGTTTTACAAGTTGGTGTTTTGAGTTGCTGACTTGAGTGATATAAAGAGATTGTAAGTGAATTTTGGCTTGGGATTGGAGTAGAATTCTACCAGCTTCTGGAATGTGTGCTGCACATCAGTGTAAAGTACCAGAAATGTAAAATATCCATCAACTCTGAGAAACACTGAAGATTCCCAATGTCTACAGTATCAAATATTCCATCAAGATTTAATTCCTTATGCCAAACATAAACAAATACAAGCATTTCACTAGTTTGCAAATTTGCTGTCATTTTTAACAAATGGTAAAAATTATATCACAACAAAGAGTTGTTTGTAATAAATTTCTTTAAGATTTAATTTTAGTAAAAACATTTGATTGAGTTATATGGAAATTATTTGGGATAAAGGGCTTTTTGACGGTAGGAAATGTTTGAGAAGCCCCCTACCTTTCTTATTCATATGACATTCTGTAACTGTGTGGTCATGACACGGGTGTGTGGGTTCACACGGGTCTGTGAAATGAACACTGAGAGGCATCTTAAGAATGAATCTAGCCTTTCATGGCTGCGGGGGGGGGTGGGGTTCAACCTCAAAGGAATGAAGCACTAACCCTTCGCCTAGGGCAGTTTTATTTCTCTCCAATACAGTTTAGCCAGTTAATTTCCATATGCTCAAAACAACCTGAAATGGGCTCCCAACAATACAATGCCAAGTGCAAATTCCTCGGTTTCTCAGGTACCATGGTTTTCTGGGTTTCCTGAACCAAATTTTGCATGGGCCTTTGTATCTTTGGGAAACTCCAAGACAGGATTCACATGGAGGGCAACAAAGAAAACAAAAGGTGTCTGCTAAACAAAAGATGAATTAGGGCTAGGTGCTGCTCTCTGGAGCCAGGCCAAGTGCAGCTCAGCAGGAATGCCACCACAACATTCACTTTTCAGGGAAATGTATCATCTCCTTGTCTCCATTCTCCAGGAATTATTGTGGGTCAGATGGGCTCAAGGCTGGCCACTCACACCACAAAGTAGGCTGGACAAGGCCTGTATAGACTTGCTGGCTCCACTGGACATTTACTGAGATGCTCACCCAATGTAAACGTCTGACTGGGGGAGGCCAGGAAGGAACATCTGGGTCCCCAAGAGTTGTCCTGGAAACATTGCCACTTGAAAGGCAACACTGGTGGCCACTGGTTTATAGATGAAGAAACCAAGCGCCAAAGGAAGGTCAGGCAGAGCCAGGACTCAAGTGAGAATGCTCACTCCTCAGCTACTAAGATGTCAGGATTCCTCAGAGACACCACCTGACTTCTCATAGAGGTCCATGATGAGATGAGGATGGGTGTCCTTCAGAGCTCGGTAGACTCGGTCTTTGCAGGCCCTGGTCCAGGACCGGCTGAGGCTGAAGAGCTTCCTCATCTTGTCTTGGTTGGTGGCTTCAGCCCGCACCGCCTCATATTCCTCTTCACTCAGTACAGCACCATGCAGGTTGTCCAAGACAGGGTCCACTGATGTCACTCGGGCCACTAGCTGCTCCCGATGCTGGTCCAGGAAGTGTAGTGAGGCAGGAGATTCTAGGGGTAAAGATGAGCCTGGCACTGAGAGAAGAAAGGCTCCCCCATGGGCTCTCTGATGGGCTGCCCACTTCTTGTTCTTTTCACCTAGCTCATCTGTCCCCCCGGATCCCTTCTTCCTCTGGAAGGTCATTTGAAGAATATCTTACCTTCCTGAGACCAGTTACTAGTCTGACAATTACCTGATCGGGGGAGGGGTTCTTCCTGGGGTGTTCAAGTTAGGAGTGGGTGGAGTTATTGTCTCCATGGGAAGCAGCAAGGTGCATGGGAGCAACTCTGCCTTGGGTATGTACCTCTTTTTACCCATCCTGGTGAAATTTACAAGGAGAGGTTCTCTCCTTTCTCACTGCCCTTCTTTCAAGAATCAGATGATTTACCAGTGGAACACTGTTGGCCCCTCTGGACTCCTTATACCTGTTACTGACCTTTGTGGGCTGCAGGGATCATGGGTGGTGCAGGCCTGAGGTCCCCTGGAAGAAAGGAGAGATGATGTATCTGTAATGGTGCCTGTCACCAATACTCAGTGCACTCTATGAAACTCCCAACCATGCCTGAGATTTTGAGAATGAGGTACAGAAATTCTGATATAATCTAGAAGGTGAATATTTCCTCAGGTGTGCAGGGAATTTTAGGTCCTGAGCCTATTGTCATAGAGAGAGAGGGCATGTGAGTGAGCAATAGATAATTTCTCCCACAGGATCACAGCCTCAATTTTATCTTATAATAAATTCCATGTGGAGAAACAACTAAGTCTCTTACTGGTTGGCTTAAATTTTTTTTGTTTTGTTTTTGAGACAGGGTTTCTCTGTGTAGTTTTGGTTCCTGTCCTGGATCTTGCTCTGTAAGACCAGGTTGGCCTTGAACTCAGAGATCTGCCTGGCTCTGCCTCTTGAGTGCTGGGATTAAAGGCGTGCGCCACCACCACCCAGCCTGGTTTAAATTTTTTGACATCTAACTCTGGTAGAAAACTATTTTCTTGACCTTGTTTGACCTTGTATGCTCACATGTCACAAATGTGTGTTCTTGATTTGATGGCTGAATCAATACAAAGCAAGACTGAGCACATAGGAACAGTGAGTTGATTTTAGGAACAAGTGAAGGAGGTTAATAAATTTCAGCTCATGTAGAAGCCCCAAGAGTGTGAGAAGACCCTAAATTCACTGTGCTCTAAGAGTTTAGAGGAAGTCATCCCAAGGACCCAGTTTGTAGTATTGGAAGCCCTGGTTCTGTTTTTATGAAGGAAGGATGATATTGCTTCCACTCCATGCTAGCTGGAACATCTTGGTACATCCTGACTTATAGATAAACTGGAGCATCTAATGAGAAAAAAAAAATCCCCGAATGACAATGAATTTAAAAACTAAAATATAAGATTGTAGACACAAGAGAGCCATGATTATAATCTTCTAGTATTAGAATACTTTCTCATATGAAAGGGAATAGACCCTAATGAGTCCTGAAGAACAGAATTAAGAAAAACATGTGGAAGAGGTTGACTTAATATAAATAAAAATAGCAACATTGCTATCAGCCAAGGATCAACTCTAAGTTGTGTGTGAACAGCATTAAACCTTTCCAACTAGCCTATGAGTTACTCAATCTGATCTTCAGTTTATAGGTGAGGAATGTTAGACTCAAATGAGTTAAGTCATTTTACAAGATTCCCTGATGAGGAAGTGCTGGAGTAAGATTCAAACCCTGGCCTGATGCTGGGGCATGTTAGTTTTCCACCTGTGGGTCACTCAGTTCAAGGATGAGAAAAATCTACTCCTTGACCACATATGTAGCCTGTTTGTAGCAGCTCAGAAGCTGAACAACCACTGTTTGACAGCTGACAAGGCTGGGCCTCTCCAGAGGTACTGGTTAGGGGAGTTTGGTTTTGGCATTGTGGGTGCTGGACTAAGACTGTATTGTTGATGCACTAAAGAAATGTCACTATTTGACTTTCTCTTCTCCATGTAAGCTTGAAAATATGGATGTCTTACAAGAGCCAACAAACAAAACAATAAATAAATGTATAAAACAAATTCTGAACACAAAACATAACCATAGAAATGAAAGAACTCTACAACAAAAATTTTAAGATATACATCAAAGAATTATATTGAGGAAGGCCTTAGATGATGGAAAGACATCCCATTATGATCACTGTTTGGAAGAATCAATATTGTGAAAATGGTCACCCTAACTAATAAAAGCACTCTACAGATTCAGTGCAGTCCCAATCATGGTTCTGGGGACATGCTTTACAAATAGTGAAAAATGTCCTGAAATACACATTAAATCACAAGAGACATAGGATAGCCAAGGTGATCCTGAATAAAAACACTATTGTAGGAAGCGTCAGCACACATGATTTCAAATTAATACTACAGCCATGGTAAATATAACAGCATGGCGTGCACACAAAACTCCCAGGCCAATGGAATAGAATAGAGGACATAATAAAAGTCTCACAACCACAGCCACCTGACTTTTGACAAAGAAACCAAAAATATGAGAAAAGACAGCCTGTTCAACAAATCATACAGGAAAACCTAGAGAGCAACACATGGAAAAAAACTAAACCAGGTGCCTATACCTCTCCTTTAGAAATCAACTCCAAATAACCAAAGACCTCAATGGGAGACCCAATACCCTGAACCAGGTAGAGGAAAATGTAGGGAGAATATTTCAACATAGCAGCATAAGGAAGGATTGTGTGAATAAGGAAGTAAAACCAACGATTTCTAAATCGAATCTCATGACACTAAAAAAAGTTTTGTATAGCATGGGAAACTTATTTGAGTGAAGATGCAGCCAAGAATGGGAGAAACATTTTCCCAGCTAAGATCTGACAGAAGATTAGGAACTAGAATATACATGGAACTCAAAAACCAAATTCCAAGGAAATAACCCAACAACAAAGTGAGCCATAGGAGAAACCAGAGAATTCTCAAAGGAAAAAATACACAGGCTAGGAAACACTTAGCTATTAGGGAAGTGGAGGTTAAATTACTTACAATTCCATTTCATTTCTTGAGAATGTCCAATATTGAAGATACAAATGATAGCAAGTGCTGGAGTGGATGTGGGGAAAGAGGAACACTTATACACTGCCTGTGGGAGTGCGAACTAGTGCAGCCACTGTGGAAGTCAACCTGGAGGCTTCTTAAGTACTAGAACTACCACGAAACCCAGCCTTACCATTCCCAGTAATATATCTAAGGGAATTTATATCCTACTATGAAGATATTTGCACAACTATGCTCACTCAACCATGTCCTGTTCACAGTAGCTAGGAAATGCAATCAGCCTAGATGTCCATCAACAGATGATTAGATAATGAACGTGTGGCACATGTATGCTATGGAAATTTATTCAGGTGTGAAGAAAATGACATTATGAAAGGTAAGCATACAAAATAGGAAAAACATCTAGCAAGATAACCCAGGCCCAGAAAGAAAACACCATATTTATCACATCAATTTCTGTCCTGGAATCTTTAGTTTTGTGGTGTTAACATGGTGTGCCCTGGTAACCAGAACACTAGAAATGGGGCAGGGCCTGAGGAGGGAAAGGAGGACAGAAGTGTCATGAGGGTAGAGGTAACGTGAGAAAAGAGAGGGAATGCTGGGGTCAGAAATGGTCAAACAAGAAGTGGGGTGGTGGGTGGAGGAGATAAAGAAGATGGTGGGAGATTGTATTAAAAATGAAGACAGCATTTAAAAGTTACAAGGAAACCTATCTTTCATAACCCAATATGAAAAAACATAAAAGAATTTGAATTCAGGGCTACAGTGCTTGAAATGGGAGGTCTTAGCAGTAGTGAGTTTCAGAACAAAACCCCAGTTCCAGGAGTGAGCTATCTCCATAGGAGCTGTTGGGCAGGGAGGCCCTGGAGGTTCCAGAGACAATGCAGGTGCATTTCATTTTCCTTTGTTCCCCATCAGAACTGGTGGACAAGACCTTCCGGCTGAAGACACCATACATCATGGATACGTGGTATAGATAATTGAAGCTGGAACTGTGTGGGAAGCTTCCCTCCTGTTGCTAAGGTTTCATAGTGTTATGTAGGCTGCTGAAGAAGGAAAGTCATCAACCACAGTCTAACCCAGCTCTGTACTCTATGATCTTTAAAAAACCGCCAGGAAAGATGGTCCCACAGCTGCAACAGTGGCACAATTGTGATGGGAGCAACCAGTAGCTCCCAATTAAATTTCAGCCCCACTCCTCAAGGTAGAATCCATCGCTAGCACTATAGAGTTAGTAAAACTCTAAAAACCCCTATCTGTGGAGGTCTTAGTCCCTTGAGAGAAGCTGGTATTGATGCTTAGGTAGACGTAGTATCAATGCCCTTCTAAATATCAGTATTTATACAGCAGACAAAGTCTACATTCAGCCTTCATCAGAAAAGCCTCTCTTTGCTGTGAATGGAGGTTGAATGCAGACACGTACAGCTGTGCAGGATACTGAGCATAAGGCATGGTTGAGTACTCATCCCTATAAGTAGATATTTATACCACACTTTTAAGGCTCTAGGGACATTGTGGAAAAGTAAGTGGAAAGAATGTAGAAACAGAAGATACGGAGAAGGCCTGTGAAGTGCTGTCTTCTAAGCATGACATGACCATGACCATCATGAACTCATATCACCTGCACCGACTGTCTCTGGACCCACACAAGTAGGACCTGCCCATTAGTCGGCTGGACATGGGGAAGCAGCTCCCAGGGACAGTACCACTTACTGCTAAACTATTGACAAATAGTAGATGATGGGGACAAGGGAGGTATACAATTCATGTGTATCCCTGCTGGTAAGCTCACTAGGTTTTTACTGCAAAACCCATGTGCATACAGATGGTCCCAGTTAGACTCTGAGGGACACAAAGCAAAACTTTTTGAATGTGGGAAAGAAATTTGTATCAAAGTGGAGGGGCTGGCAGGAGTAGGAGGAAGATAAAAATGTGTGTGTAGGGTGGAGTTATTAGAAAGCATTGTACATATGGATAAAATTGTCAAAACACAAAATTCATTTAAAATTTTGTAAGGATTTGAGACCAAGTATCTCATATTAGCAAATTCCCCTACATTTTAAGGCTGAGCTATTACATGAACTGGTTTGTGCATGATTTGTGCATCTCAAAATCTGTCATTTCAAGGGTAGTTGGGGAGGAAATCAGGACAGAAGACTGCGAAAATGGGGCTTTAGGGTATGTGGTAATTTAGATATGATGTGTTCCATGATAATGCAGATATGTTGAAGGATTAGTCCTGCAACCTTATTCAAAGGTGTCTGGTCCTGAGGGCTGTGAATATGAATGAAACCATACACTAATGCAGTCATTAATGTGAGTGCTGAGAATGGAAACTATATGAGTCTACATTGGAAGAAGCAGGGCACTAGAGGGATGTCCTGGAAGAGAACATCTTGCAAGGACTTCATTCCTTTCCTTCCTCTCTTCTCCTCTCCCCTCCTCTTCTCTCCTCTCCCCTCCTCTCCTCTCCCCTTCTCTCCCCTCCTCTCCCCTTCTCCCCTCTCTCTTGTCTCCCCTTCTCTTCCCCTTCTTCTCCTCCCTCACTCTCACTCTAACTGCCTCTCCCTCCGTACTTCAGACCTACCAGGCAAACAGCCTCCTCTCTCACAAGCTTGACTCAATGATATACTGTCTCTCCTTAGTCTCAAAGAGATGGAGGCAGCTGACCATGGACTGAAACTTGGTTCTAAGACCATAAATCAATACAAACAGTTCTATTTTTAAGTTGTTTTCTCACAATTGGGAACAGCTGACTAACACAGGGTCATAGTTTAAACTATGGTCAGACCACCTGTTTTGGATCTAGCAAAAGACACATAACGAATCTCACTATTTCATGACACCAGGAATTAATGACAATATACCTTTCCCCACTCATTGCCTTTCTTCAACTTTTGGGGTATCTGGACTTAAACTAATTTTACCTGGTTTCAACAAGGCTTCCCATATGAGATTCATATGCTTCTTGTCTCTGATTTGCAGCTTAATCCCTGAAGCCATGTGGCCAATGTAGATCTCAGAGAAGAGCTGGGATTCTCCAGGGCTCCGGTAGCACAGCTCTAGTTCCTGAAGAGAGAAAGAATTACTATGTGAGATGAACTACTCGTCCTGTGAAGGAGGGCTGTCCCCACCCCCATACTTTCTTGATCTTGCATACCACATCAGACACTGGCTGTCTTTGTACTGAGGTAACCCACAGCCTTTGAACACACATTCAGAAGGTTAAGGACCCAGCTAGGACCCCATCTTGCTGTTTCTTTTCTCATTACTCTGACAAAAACCTCACAGGAAGCAACTTGAGGAAGGGTTTATTTTGTTTAGTTTCATGGTGGGAAATTCATGTAAGCTGGAGCTCCATTCTTGGTGGCAGGAGATTATGGCAGGGCTCATAATATCCCAGGGGATGAGCAAATAATACCATGAGGTTGGGAGCAGGGCATGGCTACAACCCTCAGTGCCTAACACTAATGATCGGTGTCTAATGGCCAGGCCTCACATATTTGTTTCCACAAACTCTCAAAATACTACCACTGTCTGGGGAGCAAGTATTTAAACATTTACACCTGTAGGAGACCTTTTAGATTCAAACGCAAACACCTAAGGATGAGTGAGAGCTCATCCTGAAAGTCCTGTTCACACAGCCTAAGCCAGGCCTTGCTCTCTATTCCATGTTATGCTGAGCCCTTCTTTGTGCCATATTGAATCTAATTTCTCACTTCTCCAGGCCTTCTGTATTCCTGTTTGGTCCCTTAAATTGCTTTCTACCTAACTTGGATGTATTCTTGCTCATCCCATATCCCAATTCTTTTCTCCTGAATCTCAGTTTGCTGTTAAAGCCTTGTAACCTGCCCCACAGGTTTCCCAAGCCTGCCATCCGACCTTGAATAGTAGCAAACACCTGGATGCTCACCATTGGGATGATTTCCAGCTTCTCAGAACCAGACACAATGTAGCGGGAACCAATATAAAGAGAGTCTACTGGGGGTGGCTTGTTTATTCGAACATACTGGAATTTCATTTCTTCATCATCAATGGCCTAGGGAACATTGCAGACAGGGATTTATTTAGATTTCTGGCCCACAAATCTGTTCTAAATAAGGTGAGATAATCATTTAGTAGATTTTTTGTGGGGTGGGATAGTGACACGCCCTAGACACTCTTATACCTGGTATTCTGCAACACAGATAATTGACTTATTGGCCACTGTCACATTCATTGTGGGAACAGGGATGCTGCCACAGAAGAAGGGAATTGGCTAGAGATTGTGCATGGAGAATTCCCATCCTTCTGATGGGTGGAAAGAGGCTATAGAAGGATGTGCAGGGATTAGTAAATGGGCATCAAAGCCATTTGGGGGAAACTCTGAAGTGAGGGAGGCCAAGAAGAGGGAAGAATCACACACACACACACATGTACATGGGTTCCCTTTATAGAACTGTATCCCCACTACCAGTAAGAATCTCTCCAAGGAGCTCACTAGCTGCATCTCAAGTTTTCTCTCAGCCCACCCTGGACTCACTTTTGTGGTCCTCAGTGTTACCTTCCGAATGGTGCAGTCATTAGGGACCAGGTAAAGGTGAAATGTCACTTCCTTGAGACTGAGGTGATAGTAGATCAATGTGATGGAAGTGATGGGGATGAAGTGTCCAAAAGCAGGTATCATTCTCATTAGAACTCCCATTGGGGAGAAGTTTGGGTTTTCCAGTACTGCATAATGCTGTTCTATCCTGGTTGGGGTTTCTAGAACCATCCCATGCTCTTGAAAGTGGGCCACATGGAACCAGGAGATGTCCACTTGTCCCCCTGTGAAAGAACAGATTCAAGAGATGTAGAATTAACGTTCCTATTGATCTATGGTAGGCTGGAAAAATAGCACCCTATGATTTAGAAGATTGTTGTGGTTTGAATGAGAATGGGCCCCTGTATTTGGTGGAACTATTTGGGATGGAGTAGAAGGTGTGGTCTTGTTGGAGGAGCTTTGTCACTGGTGGGCTTTAGGTTTCAAAATCTCTTGCCTTCGTCAATTTTCTTTCTCTCCCTCCTCCTTGTAGATAGGCTTTCAGCTACTACTCCAGTGCCAATTTGCCTGCTTTCTGCCATGCTCCCAGCCTTGATGATCACGGACTCAGCCTCTGAAATTGTAAGTCCCAATAAAATCTTTCTTCTATAAGTTGCTTTGGTTATGATTTCTATTTAGTTTGTATTTCTTTTTGATGTTTATGAGGAGAACTATGACCAAAATGTAAGTTTTATTAATTAACTTCCAGTGACAGCACAGCAGAACCATCAACTGTTTCCTCATTATCAATCACCATGGCAGAGTGTGAGTGTGGGCTGTTGCCAGTGGTGACTCATGCAGACTGACCCTCATTGGAGGCAGTTTACCCTCAGTCCTGCCTAGCTGATGGGGGAGTATTTACAGTAGAGTGGACATTCTTCATGGTCTCATCTATAGATGCTATAAAGAATACAGCCTCAGAGGCTACTGTCGGAAACTTCACAATCAGGAGGTTCTCTGAGGTGCTTCCATTACAGCTTCAGTGTCTTGGGTTTGGCAGTGTCCTCTAAATTCTTAGTTGCAGAATAGAATTTTGACATTATGAAAGAGGCCCAGGGTACTTTTGTTCACTGAAGACAAGCTGGATGGATCTCTTGAATAGTTTATGTCAAATGTGAACTTGATGAAATCTAGAATCAACTTGGATACAGGCCTCAGGGGATGATGGGAGGAGATTATATTGATTGGATCAATTGAGTAGAGAAGACCTACCCACTGTATGTAGCACCATTGAATAGACTAGGACCCAGGACTGTATAAAATGGAGAAGGTCACATGAGCACAAGCATTCTGCTCACTCTGTTGACATAAGTTACCAGTTGACACATGCTCTGTGTTCCCAGACTTCTATGTCATGACTTTAACTGTGAGGCAAAGTAAATCCTTCTTTTCCAAGTTTCTTTGGTCAAGTATTTTGTTTGAGCTACAAGTCAAGTAACCTGGACAGAAAATTGACACCAGGATTCAGGTTTTTGTTGTAATAAACCTAATCATGTGGTTCTTCAGCTTTGGAACTGTTTTGTGGCTGGAATGTGAAGAGTTTTGTACTTAGGACTAGGAAAGCTCTTCCATGCTGAGAGCAGAGCTTATGGGGACATTCTGGTGGAAGCAGGAAGACAAGAATGCTGAGAGAGGCAGTGGAGGCCAGTCCATGAGGTTGCAGAGAGCAGCAAGGTTTCTATTGGGAACTAAGGTTCCATTCATGTGACAGTTTGGCCAAGAGTCTAGATTTTTTGTGTTAATGCCTGAAATATGAGTGAAGATGAATTAAAACACAAGGGACTAATTTGGAAGGAGAAGTTTCAGGACAGAAAACACCCAGGATGTTTCTACACAACCCACTGTAGCTGTGAGAGAGCAGCGTCACTGAGGGGAAGGCTGCAGTGCAGGTGACAACAGGAAAGGGGTCCCGAGGGACAATCTCACTCTTCACAGACTCATCTTGTGAAGATCCACGTTCATTTAAAGGCAGAAAGCCTGAAGTGATGGTGTTCCCTGTTCCCCAAATGCAAATGCAAGGAAGTGTTTCCCATGGTCAGCACATCATACAAATGTGGTCCAAGGTGGCCACATCTCAAACTGTCAACAAAACTTGGCAGTATCATCACTATAGGTTTTTGTGTTTTTGGGGGGTTGAAAGATGCTACATTCGTGGATCACTGAGTCATGCTGCACAGTTTCAGAAAGCAGCTGAGGCCAGGCAATGTGCCTGAGTCAAAGATCCTGCAAGAATGCTGAGAGGTCATTCTAAGAACCTTTTTATTCATGGATCTTATATAACCTGGAACAGTCTGTATTTCTACCTTATTTTTTATGATTCTTCAGCTGTTGTATCTACCCTATTAAGATCACTTTTGGAGCTACTCATAATCCTTATCACCATGAACAAACACTATCTTCCTCTGCTCTGAGCTGGATTCCATTCAGGGACTCCTTCAGGTAAAACAGAAATAAGGTCAGTAGGCTGGGAGACATGTGCTTCAAAGAAGATATATCAGACAAGAAGGGATGACAAAACATCTCAGTGTCCACCTTCATAACCTGCTGTGCCATGAGACCTTTCCTCATCACCACCATTCTACTGTCTGCTATGTGACATGTCAACACCTCCCATTACCACCACCCTACTCCTTATGCTTCCCTTGGTTACCTTGGAGAGCCACAAAATGAGGGAGGTACACAGCAGCCACAGCTCCCTGCTCAGCCTTGATGTCAAACAGAGGCCCAGCCACCATGTGACTGTGCTGCAAGGGAGTCTTGTCCAGGTGTTGGCTCCAGGAACAGAATCCAATCTCGATGGTCACTGCCCTTGTCACCACAAAGCGGAGTCCTGTGTTGGGACAGTGGTAGGAACCAGGCACAGGGAACTGAACTCTAGAAGAGGGAGAGGCAGACACCAGTGAACACCAGCTCTGCTCCTCTGCTGGGTGCAGACCCAGTGCAGGGCTGGGGACACAGCAGACTTCAGCCAGATGGCTCTGAGGTCTGGTTCCTCTGCTGTCTGTCTGTGGATCCCTGATTAAGTCACTTAACTCCCAAATCTGTTTCCTCATCTATACATAGGGGTAACAACGTCAACATCATCTTATGGACCTATGAGTACTGAGTGATCTAATGCAAACCTACAGGTAACATATACCTAGAGCAGTTAGATATTCCTGTGGTGATGAAAGAGGTGTGTGTGTGTGTGTGTATGTGTGTGTGTGTGTGTGTGTGTGTGTGTGTGTGTGTGTGTGTGTGTGTGTGAAGTTCTGTGGATCAAGCTAGGACTTTTCACACTAGTCAGAGGCTCTACCACTGAGGTACATCCTCAGTTTATAGACTCTATGTTCCTGAAGTATATATTTAAGGATATCCAAGAGACAAGAGAAATGAAATATAATGAGGGGACTGATGCTGTTTACATCATGAATAAAATAATCTGCAGAAAAATCACAATTCAGATAATAAGCAAAGTATAGCACAGACTGTTTAGATGGAATGAAAGACTTATGTCAGCTCTGTTGATGTGGTAATGGTGTGCTGGTCATGGAAGACAAGGTCCTGTCTTAACTACGGGGGAGGCATAGTGAAATGTTTGTGTGTGAAGTCACCTGATGTCCTGGACTCACAATACTGTCACAGTGATGACAAAGGATGAATGTGAGTAGTTGAACAAACTTGGAAAAATGTTTGCTAGAGCTGAGTAGTTGGACAGGGAAGTTCTTGTGCTCTCCTGTTTTATAAATGTTTGAAAATTTTTTATGATAAAGATCCCTATTTTTATAATAGCCCACACTTCTTATTCTAGTCCTGGCCTTGTTACCTGCCTTGATGAAGTGAGGAGGAGACACAGTAGAGACTAGGTGGGTGCCATCTGTGGGGATCCCTTGTGGAAAGTGTGCTGGGGAAAGTCAGCCTTTGCCAGGCAGAGTTCACTCACCGGTACAGGTTCCTCTCTCTGTCAACCACCTCAGTATCCACAGGTCCTGTAGGGCCCCAGAAGTCATTTTCAGTGCCCAGTGGTTTCAGGTGCTTGTCTTTTGGAGACTCAGGAGGAGATGGATGGAAGGTCTCTTGTGGTGCAAGTTGTGAGCACCCCTCCTCTAGAAGAAGCCAGGCACTGGTCACTTTATGTCTCCTCAGCCCTCCCTAGTGTAGGCCCAAGGCTAAACACTGTTTCCAGGTTGTGTGTATGATATATATATATATATATATATATATATATATATATATATATATATATATATATATGATATACTCTATATGCATATTATATATACTATATATAGTACATGTATTGCATTTTGTATTGTTTTCTTACCATTGCTTGCCTTCTGAGTGATCCTACCACCCTAATATCTGCTCCCTACCAGGTGTTGTGTTTCATTTCCTATTGGCCCATAAGTGATAATTTTTCTAACATGTCTCCAAATGGGTAGGTTGTGAAAAGAACCTAACTGAATAGATGAATAATCAGGGATGAGGAGGTAATTCCTAGGTCATAGGAGCTCAGAATAAGACATGGAGCCCTGGTACAGAGCCTGATGTAAGCCAGAGACTTGATAGAGGGGCAGCGCCAACCCCCAAGGCTGAGAGAGAAGGAAGCAGTGTTCCCTCTGCGTTCTAGTTGCGGAAGACCTTTAGAGGGGTGGGGCTCTTTGTGGAGAACTGTCCTGGTCCATGCCAGAGACAGGGGGATAGAAATGATTTCCAGCACACCTGAGATCATGTCTTCTGTATGTGAGAGGGAAGTTGCACTCATGAAATCTCCACAATATCACTGCCTCTACAAGAGGCACAATGACTACACCAGTTGTCATGATACTGTGGATGGGGGGGAATCTCACAAGGCCCCAGTCATAGGTAACAGCTGCTAGAGAGGAATAAAATCAGTCCTCCTCAGAAAGAACTCCATAATAGGTTATCCAACCCCAAATGGTCAGCCTTAAAGGTGCATACATGATCAACACCAAGTGGGGTCATCAGGTTGTATTAATATACACATATGCATACATGTATTTATTCACACATATATTTAATAATAATATTTAAGAAGAATTCATGAATTAGAGAGAGAGAGTTTGTAGGCGGGTCACAAGGAGACTTGAAGTGGGCAGATAGAGGAATAGAAATGATCTAAATACAGTACTCATACTCATATTTAAAATTCTAAAAAAAATGAAATTAAAAAAGAAAGAAATGATGACTTCCTCTCACAGATGTCCCTTCATCTGGCAATCATTATGCTGAGTCTGAACTCATTACATACCTGTCTGTAGTCTCTGCCGCTTACGTGATTTTGGGCTATCATCCATTTCTTCTCCATCCCGCTTCTTAGTAGGATCCATCACACGTGGCTTCCTATACACAGACAAGTTCTTTCCCTCAGATGTCAGGAAAAACCAGAGAAATTGGGGTTGTGTACATGATATGCCCACATAAAATCTAAGTCATTTGAATTTGAACTCAGTTTTATGCTTCTTTTCTGGGTTGTATCTCTAAGAATGCCTCCATTATCCTGGGTGTCCACACCCCAGAACTGGGAGCACATCAACCCTTCCTTTGCTCTAGTTTGAATGTGTATCCCAACGTTCATACATGGGAATGGTAATCCCCAAAGCCACAGTGCTGATGGGATGAAGGATAAGACACAATGAGATCATGAGTGCTCTGCTATCAGGAAGGTGTTAATGTCATCATCACAGACATAGATTCCTGTGGCCTGACAGGACTTGTCACAAAAGCCACCTTGGCCTCTCACTCTCAGCCTTCCCAATTGCACAGTAGGATGGAACAGGAAGAAGGGCTTCTCTAGATGCAGAGTCCATGCCCTTACCCTTCTCTGTATCCAGATCTGCAAGAAATAATCTCAATTCTTTGTTAAGTGCCCAGTGTCAGACATTGTGTTATAATTGCACAATACAAACTAATGACCATTCACCCTGAATGCTAATCACCTAGATAGTATCTCCCAAATCTCTCTCCTTTCTGTTCCCTACTCTCCCCCTCCACAGACTCCATCCTTGTCCTAGGATGAAGCGAGCATTGTCCTGAACCTCTGCAGCATCCTCTGACAGGCATTCCTGCTTCTGATCTGGTTCCTTCTAGCTCATTTTCTATGTAGTAGCTGACCATAAAAAATGGGTGGAGATGCCCCTTCATAGCTGAGGTGCTGGAAAGCCTCTCATTTCCTCTGGGGAGAAACAGAAGGTTCTTAGGATGGGTCATAGTTCTTGCTGTGGTCTCTGTCCACCTCTGGGTCCTTCTATGTCACCCTTTCCTGCTCACTGACCTGTAGACCAGTGGCTTTCAAATCACTATGCTCAAATGTCACCTGGACAGGGTGCTCAGTCAGAAAGCTCACTGAAGGAAGCTTCCCCACCCAAAATTCTGAGTCAGCAGGGATGGAGTGAGAACCTGCATTTCTGTGGAGCTCCCAGGTAATGGTGAGGCGGAGCAGATGGTCTCACACATTGTTTCCTGTCCCCCAGTGGAGCTGCTCTCTCTGCTCCCTTAGAACCTCTGTGTCTGCCTGGAATTTTCTCCTTCTTGGCTCATCCCTCATTTCCCATCTTTGAGAGTTCACCTCAGCTCACCCCAGCCTTCGATGAGGTCAGACAGACCAGCACTGCACTAATGTCCTTCCCGGGTACAATTACGTGACTGTGGAGGAATAAATGTCTCCTCCTCCCTGACAGACTGAGGTCACGCCTGCCTTGTTCCCTGATGTGCCCTCAGATCCCAAAACAGTGTATGAAACACAGCAGGTCTGCGGGAATGCCTGTTCAATGAGTGGCTGACCCTCCTGAGTCTTTAGCACACCCTCCATCTCACGTGTGTCACAGCAGCTAGGAACTTGAGAACAGATGGGATTAATGGTCATGAAATGAAATGTGCCAAAGTGGAAGAACATGGGGCTTCAGCACAGTCTCTGGAGTGGAAGATGACTTTCCTGTCCTGTGGCTTCTCTTCAATCCCACAGTACAGTGTGTGTGTGTGTGTGTGTGTGTGTGTGTGTGTGTGTGTGTGTGTGCACGTGCGCGTGCACATGTGTCTGAGTATTGGGGTTGGGACAGTGATGCACATCGTGGTTTTTTTTTTCTCCTTAAGAGTCTTTCTGTCTGTTTCTTTCTCTCCTCGATGTGGTGACTGCTTTCATTGTCCAGTGGTCTCGGTTCACTGCTGGCTACTCTTATCTACTATTATCACACTTGCTGTGCCAGAGGATTCACCACTAAATCAGCTTTTCATATTCTTTTTTCCCAATTGAAGAAATTAAGAAGACATGTTATATGGTTCTATTTCTTAAGGTTATACAACTATTACACACACACACACACACACACACACACACACACACACACACACACACAATCTCACTTCTGTTGCTGTGGTTCCTGGATCTCTGGATCTGTTTGTCTTTTCCATCATCTCAGGACCCGGTTCCCACCTCTCAGCTCTGGACCAGCCACATAGGGCCTGGGTTGACCTATAGGAGTTCTGTGCCCACTCCTTACCATGTGCTGGAAATGAGCAGCTGTGGATTCTTTGCCTCCAGGGCCCTGAGCTCCATCATCACCTGGTCACTGAGAGGGGCCTGGTCCAGCCTGTAAGCACAGAGGGGGATGTTTCTTCTGAGATCCCCCACAGGATCATGAGGCCTCAGGGTCCAGAATTCTGGGTTCTGTTGTCCATAGATGGAGCCAGTGAGGAGCCATATTATTCTTGAGCCAAAATTATGACAAAGGAGAGCGAGGGAGCAGCAGGCTGAGTAGAGGGAGATGTGTCCATGATACAGTCTTAGTAAGGTTGGTCAATGTGCAGGGAAATCTGAAGCCAGGATGAGGACCTTTGGAACTTTCCAGAGCTGAAATAAGGGTCTTGACATTTATAACCCCTTCCCCCCAGGTCAGTCATTGGAGACAGACTGTCCCAGGGAAGGGAACATGGCCATAGATGAGGGGAATCATATTAACAAGGGGCCACGGAGTAGCCATCGGCATTCTTTGTAGCTGGAGGCCATGGCCATATTCCCATGCTGCCTCTCTGGGCAGTTCTTTAAAGTAAACACAAGGTGCTGGGATCATGGGTATTCTCCTTGAGGGAAAGAACCTTGGTTCCATTCTCACCTCCCTCCCCCTTCCCTCTGGTGTTAAGGGAGGAAGCCTTTTCCTTAGACAGCAGCCACTACCTGAGGTCTGCTGGTCCCGTTCTTATGATCCTCAAGTTCCAGGATTTCTGGTGTTAGGGTAGTGACCTTCTCTGGGTTTTCATATTCTCAGTCCATAACCAGAGCTATATCACTCCCATCTACCTACTGTGGGGCACAGACAAGGATGGAGGGGAAAGGGTCCTGCACCCGTGAGAGGCTAAGCAATGTCACATGCAGCAGACACCAGCTCTGAACAGGCTCTTCAGCCTATGAGAAACAGTCATGGCTGAAAGCAGGCTGGGGAACAAAGGTGCCAAGCAGCTGGGCTAGTTTCAGCTCCCAGAGAGGTGGAAAGAAGACCCTTCACTGCCCAACTGCTTCTGTGCATTTAAACCAGAGAGCTGGAGAGATGGCTTAGTGGTTAAGAGCACATACTACTCTTCCAGAGGACCTGAGTTCAATTCCCAGAACCCACATCAGGCAGTTCATATCCACCTGTAACTCCAGTTCTGGGCGACTTTGACTCCTCTAGTCTCTAGGGGCACCCATACTCATATATACCAGTGGTTCTCAACCTGTGGTTTGCGACTTGTGTGTGGAGGTGTCTAATGACCCTCTCACAGAGGTTGCCTTAAGAGTATTGGAAACATCAGATATTACAATTCATAACAGTAGCAAAATTATAGTTATAAAGTAACGAAAAAAATAATTTTATGGTTTGGGGTCGCCAAAACATGAGAAACTATATTAAAGTGTCACAGCATTTGGAGGCTTGAGAACCAGTGACATATACATACACATAAATAACATAATAATAACAATAATAGAGTTGAAGAAGAAGGGTTGACAAAGGAAGTCTCGGGGAACAGGCCTGATGGGCTTCTCCTGCTGGCTGGAAGAGCCAGAAGATCTGGATACAGGGATTGGGAGCCTCCGTGGTTCTCTGAGTCCATGAAGGGCACTGGCCAGCAACCTCTGGGAAGTTCACTAGAAACTGGCTGTGGCCTGTGCTGGGGAGGTGGAGAAACAGGAGAGGGAGAAGCTCAGAGACAGCATGAAGGAGCTGAGTGGAGGACGAGGTTCTCCAGGGCTGTAGTTTGAGGCTTCTGAGCTTGTGTGAAACTGTAGTGCAGGGGGAATGGCACCATTTCTGGTACAGGGGACTATCTCAGGCTGCTGTAGTGAAACTTGGTGACTCTCTAGGCCTTTGCCTCTTTCTTTTCCAGAGCTTTCCCCAACTCTGCCTCTGTCTGGGCCCTGGCCTCAGCTTGGCCCACCCAAGTCATACTTTTTCTTCAGGACTCAGAAAACCCTCCTGAGCCATTCAATAACGTGGAATCTCTCACAGCATGACATTCTCACAATACTGTTGACTCCACATCATTCAGCAGAGCTTGTCAGTACAGAGTCATGTGCTGATGGGTGACCTATGTCTGTCTCTTTCCACATAGCTTCAAGGGGACAGAGCCATGCATGTTTGTGATTGCATCCCTAGGGTCTGGATCAATGCTTACACATAGAAGTCCTGATATGAATGCATGCATGCATGAATTCATGTATGAATAATTGAGGAAATCACTGTCCTGGACTAAGGCAAACCTGGGAGTCTTTCAGGATATACATCCTTGCTAAAACATGTGATTCCACCCTGCCAAGCTACCCACTTGGTATTATCTTTGTTTTTACATATGTACATTTTGTGTCATTACAATCTATGAGGTAGGTATGACATTCTATTTAATAGATGAGGAAACTGAGTTTTAAAGAAGACAATGACTTACCCAAGTCCCAGGGTAGTAGTGGCACAGCTGGCCAGGAGCCAGGCTGACTGTGCATTATCTGTCCCTTTTCTTTTCTATGTCTTGTCATCTAATAATACCCCTGTGTCCATTGCCTTATCTTCTGCCCAGAAGGAATCTTGGGGTCTTACTTACCACAGGATTCTGAGGTTGCAGTCAGGATTCTTGATCTCCTTATAAAGCTGCTTCACACCACGGTCTCCCAGGTCATTCAGCTGTAGGTCTAGCTCAGCCAGGCTGGAGCTGGCCCTGAGCACTGAGGCCAGGTACGCACAGGAGATGGATGTGAGGCCACAGTTGACAAGGCTGCATGGGAGATGATCACCATTAGCTTCTCCAGGCTTACTGCTCTTGGGAACCGAGCTCCGGTCTCACTTTATGAGCCCTGGCATGAGGTGCTACCAGTGTTTAGCTCTCTGGAGTGCCTTTTCTAGTCTAGGTGGGTAATTCCATGTTTCCCACAGCTGAGCTGCAGGATCAATGGAGTACAGGTTGGGGACCACTTCTCTGCTGTGATTTGCCCTGGCAGAGCTCCATGAGGCCCAGAACAGCTCACTGGTATATTTCAAGAGCCATCTGAAGTGAAATTTACCAGCCATAGAATAGGGCATGATATCACTCATCATGTGAAATCTTGGTAAAGATGGAGTCCATGCAAACAGAGTAGAAGGCTGGTTACAAGGGCAGAGAGCAGGAGGAAATGGGGAGACGCCATTCCCTGGGCCTGGAGCTTTCTTCCCTCCTGATTCATTTAGCCTCTTACTCCGTGTTCTTCAGCTCTCCTGTAGCCACTTCCTTAGGAAGTTTGCTCCACTGCGGACCTCATGAGCCTCTTGTTAGCAATAGCTAGTGGGGCTCCTTGCTGAATGTCAGTCTTTCATGATCCTCAAGAGTAGAAGCCATTTGATTATCATAACAAGTCTGGCATCTGTTACAGGTGTGGTCAAAAACATTTGGTGAATATTTGAAGAATACTAAGTCTCACTCCAGACCCAGCTTTTACTTTGTTCTTCTGCCATCCATCCTAGCATCAGGGAAGAACCCAAGCCAGACTCACCACAATGTCTTTAGGTGACATCCAGGGTACCTCAGGGTCTTACAAAGACTTTGCATTGCACAGTTGTTCAGTGGATTTCCACTTAGGTCCAGCTCCTTCAGGTTTCCTGTGAACTTAAGAGTGGAGAAGAGAATCTTCCAACTGTCATTAGTGATTGGGGTCCACCTGGACCTGAGGGGGAAAGAGAAAGAGAAGGACATGAGGGATGTAACTTGTGTGTTCACAGAGCCCCACACAGCAGATTAGGTTTCTGTTACCCTGAGCACCAGGCCTCAATATGCAACCCCCAGGATTCACCAGCTTCTACATATTCCTTTGTTCCAATGTTTTGATAGATGGTTCCTCATCTACATCCTTATAGCATGCTGTGTGTTCATTTTGTATGTCTCTTTCTGACTCTGTCTAAGTGTCCCACAAGGTATGAACAGGTGGCTAGCATCTTTTCTTTATAATCTACAATACCAACCACAGACCCTGGCACTAAGGGGGAACCTTCGTAACTCAACCTCTTCCTTTTGATGAGAATATAACTGCTTTCTTTGGAACAGAATTCTAGAATCTCATAAAAGAAAACTGGACAGAGGAAGAGGTTGAGATCAACTCTGTGGTGGGATGTTAAGCATGGTCATAAACATTATTGTAGATGTGTTGGTCCATATGGTCCCTATATCTTTACAATAGAAAGGGGAGAGGATGAATAGATAGATAGAGAGATAGATAAGTAGATAGGTAGAGATAGAGACAGGGAGAGACAGAGATACATAGAGAGGACAGAGCAGGATAGAGAGAAAGAGAAATTCACAGACATACATAGAAGTAAATGACAGACACAGAGACAGAGAGAGACAGAGACAGACACACACAGAGAGAGACAAGCAGGCAGATAGAGAAAGACAGAGAGGTAGAGAGTGAGAACCACCTTGAGTGGTAGTCCATTCCTTTAATGCCAGAAACTAAGTTTACAGAGGCAGGAGAATGGTGAATTTTAGATCAGGCTGAGCTCCAAACCACAAGGACTTGGTGTGTGCAACATCTGATCCCTAACACTAAACAAAATCAAAATAAAACCACAAGTTCAAAAACACGGATTAAAGGTGGCCAACTTTGACTGAAACAAAAGTATAGGATTCTTTTATAAACAAAGATGTTAAGAAAAACCAAATACTAAACTTTGAAGGATGGTGTTTTAAAAATTGTTTTATTTATTTTTTACTTTTTGTATGTGTGGAAGTTTGAATGTAACTGGCTCTCATAATCTTATAGGGCATGGCACTATTAAGAGGTGTGGTTTTGTTGGAGTGGGTGTGGCCATGTTAGAGGAAATGTGTCACATGGGGGCAGACTTTGAGGTCTCCTTTGCTCAGGATACCACTGAGGATGTTCGTCAACTTCCTGCGGCCTGCACACTGCCATGCTCCCCACCATGATGATAATGGACTGAACCTCTGAAACTGTAAGCGAGCCAAGCCATTTCAATTAAACGTTTTCCTTATAAGAGTTGCTCTGGCTGGGCGGTGGTGGTGCATGCCTTTAATCCCAGCACTCGGGAGGCAGAGCCAGGCGGATCTCTGTGAGTTCGAGGCCAGCCCAGGCTGCAGAGTGAGTTCAGGAAAGGCGCAAAGCTACACAGAGAAACCCTGTCTCAAAAAAAACTAAAAAACTAAAAAAAAAAAAAAAAAAGAGTTGCTCTGGTCATTGTGTCTCTTCACAGCAATAAAAACCTGAACTAAGACAGTGTATGTTTGTATGCCTGCTTGTCTGTGTGTACTCTATGTATGCAGAAACCGGCAGAGGCTTGAAGCAGGGCATCAGAGCCTCTGGGACTATAGATAAAGGTGGTTGTGAGCAAGGCGGTTGTCAGCCATCTGATGTGGGTGCTGGGAAATACCCACACTCTCTGAAAGAGCATCAGGCTCTCTTAAGGGTGGAACCACTCTCTCAGTCCCCAAAAGATGTTAGTTTTGATGCATGTTTAGTATTTATACTGACTGAAAGTGGAACTTCAGAATGTGCTATTCAAAAAAACACAAGGCACCATTATGAGCCACACACACACAGAAGCTGTTGCTCACTGTGGTGTTTTGAAAGAAAATGCCCCCCCACCAAGGGAGTAGCAAATTAAGGAGGTGTGGCCTTACTGGAGTAGGTGTGGTCTTGCTGGAGGAAGCATGTCACTGTGGAGGCAGGCTTTTAGGTCTCATATATGCTCCAGCCATGCACAGTGACACAGTTCTTCCAATTGCCTGCATATCAACATGTAGCATCTACCTCTCCAGTACCGTGATTGCCTGTACACTGCCACCATGATGGTATGGATTGAATCTCTGAACTGTAAGTGAGCCACCACAATCAAATGTTTTCTTGTAAGAGTTGCTGTGGTCATGGTGTCTCTTTCCAACAATAGAAACCCTAACTAAGACACTCACCTGCCATTTTGGATTCCTTGACTTTGGCCAGCCTCCACTCCTGTTTTCTTAGTATGCAAAGGCCTCCTTGCTGATCTCCCTGCCTTGTCTGACTTTTCCCTTCAACTGTTCTTTCTTACTAGCAGCTGAAGCCTCTCCCTTTCCCTTGGTGTTGTCCCCAGGCTCTTAAGGCCACTGTCCTTTGCAAGCAGGCTGGTGTTCTTGTTTCTCTCGCCCTATCTGGTCTCTGTCTCGGTATATATTCAGAATTCTTCTGAAGCCCCACAGCAGACCACTTCTACTTGCAACATCTGTATCAAGGTCCTTCAAGACTCACTTGTTTATAACCATATACACTTAGAAACAATTTATACTGGCCAAGAACAAGAAAATGATCCAATTCACCAAGGTATTCTCCCTAGGCAATATCATAAGGCTATTCAGAATGATATTGTACTAGACCATTAGCAACCAGAGAAGACATCCTTGAGTCAGTAAGAAAATAAATGTGAATATAAGACAACAGAGATAGTGTGGCTTAATGTTCCCATATAAAAGTATATAGAGAAAATATTAAAGGACATGTCACATTTTTTTCTTTCATGCTGTGGACCAAACCTAGGGACTTGGGCTATTAGGTATGGTGTTTTGAATGAGATGCTACCCAATCAATGGCATTTGAATGCTTGGCTCTTAATTGGTGGTACTCTTTGAGGAGGCTTGGGAGGTGTTACTTTGTGGGAGAAAATATGTCAGTGGGGCAAGATTTAATATTTCAAAGCCTTGAGCCATTCCCAGGACACTCCATCTGCTTCCTGCTTGTCGTTCAAGAAATGAGCTCTCAGATGCTGCTCTAGTTAGCATCCTTTTCCTCTGCCATGGTAGACCCTGATCCCTCTGGACCATAAGCCCAAATGAAGTCTTCTATAAGTTGTCTTGGCCATGTTGTTTTATCACAGCAACAGAAAATTAACCAATACACTAGGCAATCCCTCTATCAATGAGTTACATCCTTAGCCTGTAATATTTTGAGACAGCCTCACACTATGTAGCCCAGGCTGGACTGGGACTTCTGACCTTTCCTTAGTCTTCTGAATTTGGGATGACAGGTGTGTATGACCAAGCTCAGCTATCCCAGTCCTTAATGCTGTCCTTAATTGAATTCTTGAGGATACTTGTTGCTTGAATTTCTAAAGGTCTTAATAGAAAACCCATAGCCAGATATTGGGGCAAATGCTGAGAGATCAGAGAAATAAAGGAACAAGCCACTGCCACGTCTTACCTCTAGGACTCCTCAGTCTGAAAAGTTTTAGTTCCTGCTTCCTCACACCTTATCTACCTTTCTCTGCCCAGCTATTAAAGGCATGTGTGCTTCCCAAGTGCTGGGATTAAAGGTGTGTGACTCCCAAGTGCTGGGATTAAAGGAGTGTGCCACCACTGCCTGGCTCTGTTTCCCTCCTAGACTGAGTCAATCTCATGTAGTTCAGGGTGGCTTTGAACTCACCGAGATCCAGATGGATTTCTGCCTCCTGAGTGCTAGGATTAAAGGTGTGTGCCACCACTGCCTGGCCTCTGTGTTTAATCTAGTGGCTTATTCTGTTCTCTGAACTTCAGGCAATTTTATTAGGGTACACACTATATCACCACAGATACTAATTTTTATTGTTTTGATAATTGGTAAATCACACTCTTCTACAACAAGCATGTTTTTTATTGGTACATTCTAATCATATAAAGTGAGAGTCGTTGAGACAACTTCCTACATGAAAGAAAGTTTGATCACATTTGTTCTTTTTGACCCGTTTCCCCTCTCTTCATCTTCTTCCTGTTCTCCAACCTTTGCTCCACTACTTTTGAGTTTTTCACATGGGTTCTTGCTGTGTTGTTAAAGTCCTCAACTCAAAATAACTAGCATGTTCCTTATTATTGCAACAGTCATGCCCTAATTAGAGTAGTTCGCTGTCTTCTCTCCCAGTTTTGAAATCCTCGGGGGCAGCAACTCTATGTCTCTTCTTGCAATTGATTGGTAGGGTGTGACATAAAAATCAGCACTTAATGAATCATCTATAGAGGAGAGAAACACATATTGATACTGAGTCATCACTTCTGCACAGCAGTAGGAGACTCTGGAAGGGGAGGTCTACATTGCTGCTGGATTGGCAGGAAGTTAGGAAGCCTTCAGGCTGAGTGCCAGGCCCATGCAGCCTTCATTGACACAGGGAAGTAATCTGGACAGGAAAAATATAAGGACTCTCACATATATATATATATATATATATATATATATATATATATATATATATATATATATATATATATATATACCTTCTGAGGTGATGATAGAAAGACCTCAGTGCTAAGGTCATCTTTATGGGGATAGGGGATGGTGTCCGTAGGAGCTGAATGAGCAGTCTCTCAGAGAGAAAGCATGGTAAGAGAGAGGATGAGTCACTCTGCGCCATTTGAACCTTGTGAAGGGTGAGGAAAATTTGAATCAGAGAAGGTAGGTTGTCCTTGCTGAGGCATAGGGAGAGATAAAAGTTCATAATCCATCACATAGTCAGGCACACAGAGGGAAGTAGAGAAAGATAATCAAATTTAGCAATTAGATGTTACTGATGACCTGTATCCTGCTGCCCTGGAACCAGCTAAGAGTGCTGCTGGAGTTCAGAACATGTGTGCTCATGGGATCTACAGGGAAGCTGGAGAGAGTACTGTGTCTGGATACTCACAGAACCATCCTCGGGGCCATCAGCACTTTCTCCTGCTGTCCACCATGATTCAGCTGAAGCCTCTCCACATGGCAGCAGAACTTAATGCAGAAAGTGACCACCATGAGCTCCATGTCTGTCTGGACCAGCAAATGCTTCATGTTTGTCAGGAACCTTGGATGTAGCATATCCACTGGGGCATGCATCCTTGTTTCTTGATAATTTTCCATCACAAATGTCAGGAGCTCCTTATCCTGAATCTCATACAGACAATGGAGCAAACCCAGAGAATATGGTTGATGGTACAGGGCTTCCTCTAGGATGTGCCATTGCAGGTACAACCATGTCCTCCAAGGAAACCTGCAGGCAGAGATCTTCTGCATTTCTCCCATTCCTTTTTTACTTAAAAGACCAAATAGGAAGCGCAAAATGGGTGCATCAAACAGGTCATGTTTTCCATACACTTCTATCAGTGTTTCCACAATTCTGTAGTTTTCCATATCACCATATCTATCTTCACTATCCACCAAGATGCAGGACATTGCTGCAAAGAACTCCTGGAGACACAAGTGGGCAAAGCTGTAACTCAGAGAGCTGGGCTGCTTTTGAATGACACCCACCTTCAGGAAATTGTCGATGACATCCTCAGACAACCCTTGCTGCTGGAGAGCTAATTCACTGAACAGGGTCCTTCTTGTACAGATTCCCTTAGCAGCTAGTGAGCAGAGCCTTCTGAGATGGGTCCCCAGGTGCTCGGCTGGTATTGTCTGGGAAAGGTATTTCAGGCAGAGGGCTGTGGTGGTCCGTGAGGTCAGTGAGAGGTCTTTTCCCTGTTGCATCTGCTGCTTCAGGCAAGTGCAGACCAGCCAGGATACCCAGGGCACCAGACACAGTGTTGAGAGCACTGGGTTTGATTTAACAAATCTAAAAGCTTTAATTGCTTCTCTTTTCTCTGTGAAATATTTGTAGATATATTTCTTCTGCCCAGACTCAGAGAAGCCCAGGACTTCCACCCAACGTGGCTGCCCCAAAGAAGGAATGAACTTCTGTAGAGCTGTGGTCCGAACTGTGAGCAACAAGAAAGCCCCAGGCAGGATGGATTTCCCCAGCAAACTGCCCAGCAGTGTGTGCACAGGCTGTGGCTGGCTCCAGTGCAGACAGAACTTGGGATTTTTCTCTCCCAAGACCCATGCTGGCTCATCTATGCCATCCAAGATGAAGAGCAACTTCTCGGGCTGAGACAGGATCTTCTTGATGGGAGTTGCAGGCACAGTCTGGTCTTTTGTTATGAGCTCAGCCAGACTCAGCTGCTTGCACTGGGCCAGCTCTCTGCAGCTGAAGTAGAAGACATGCTGGAAGCGATTCCTGTAGAGCTGGCCTTCCTCCCAAGCTCTCCTCACCTGCCTGGCTAGTGTTGACTTCCCAATCCCAGCAGCCCCCTCTAATACGACTAGTTGAGGCTCTTCCTGGGTATCTGGGTTTGGATAAAATAATTCTTGGATCTCAATCAGGTGTCCCCTCTCCTCTGGTTTACTTTTACGCCATCTTTTCCAGACCAAGGTGTCCCAGCCTCTTGGGCAAGATTTTTGTAGAAGTAATAGCTGTGTGAAATTTTGGAGCAAATCCTTGGTTTTCCAGGACGCAGTGTGGTAAAGATTCTCTCTCTCTTCATTCTGATGTATTTCTGAAATGAATCATAAATTAGGGAAGAATGATGGAGCATAACTGTCCACAGTAGAGTGTTTCTCCTTTCATTCTTTCTTTTCTTTTCACCCTTCAACACCTGGATAACATCTGTCTAAGCTGGACAACATACTGGCTGTGGGCGCTGAGATATTCTGAAAAGCGCAGTGCAAAGAATGTGAGATTTAGACTAGAAGGATCTAGTTCAAGTCTTCACTTGTCTAATTAATAATAATGCTGTACAATGTTCATTCACACTTTAGATATTTATTAATGTTTTACTCTGTGCCATGTCTGTTCTAGTGGTTGAGAATAAAGAGTGAGTTCACAGGCTCAGCTCTGTCCTCATTCAGTCTATGGGATGATCCCATAGCTCCACTGTGCTTCAGCTTTCCCATCTGTAATTGGGGGCCGTGATCTCTACTGCAAGAGGCCATGGAGTACTGGGGAGATTATAGACATTGGAGCCAATGTCTGCTCCTGACTGATCACATTGGCCCCCACCATTGCAGTCCTGACGACATCATTCTGTAAGTCCTGAGATTGTGGGTCTGAAGGGATCATCTTGGGATGCTTAGGGTTCATGTTTCATGACATAGACTTGGACCCCTCTCCCCAGGCCTTCCAGATATCATTGGTAACAACAAGCCTTGTTTGTGACTACTTTTGGATGTCTTTAGTTCACACTGAAACTCAGTTGACAGTATGGCACTAAGGGGACAAGGGTCTAATAAGGCACTAAGGGTTTAGAGTCATGGGGGCAGGCCCCTTATTAGCTGACCAATACTTTTCTTCTAGGAATGGGCAAGCTGTTGTGGGAAGGGCTTCCCTCTCTCTCCTGCAGGCAGCCTCTCGCCTGTATACTTTTTTTTTCTTAAGGAGAGTAGTTGTAGTCTCTATTTTTGGACTTCAAACTCCAGAAGTATAATTAAATATACAGGTTCTAAAAAAAACAAACAAAAAACCAACCAACTAAACACACAAACAAAAAGGCCACTAAGCATGGTTGTATAGTCCTGTAATTCATCACTGAGAAAATAGGCAAGAGAATCAGGAGTTCAGGGCCAGCTTTTCCATACGATGAGTTTGGAAACATCCTGGGCTGCAATCAGTCAGTCAAACAGTCAGTCAGTCAATCAATCAATCAATCAATCAAACAAGAACAACAAAAGTTACCCAGTCTCTGTTTCCTGTCCTGGCAATGGACAACAACTAACACACTTGCTCTTGATGTCACATGCCCCACTGTTCATACAGCACACTTCGCTGGCTTCCTCCCTCTTGCCCTACTCCCCCTTCCTCCAACCAGTGCATCTGAAGAGTCCTCTCTCCATGTGGACCTGACCACAAATCTCATCTCAGCATCTTCTTTGGAAGGAACTGAAGATAAGACAGATAGGAGGATGCCCCATGGACCAGAATCCAATCCTCAGCACCTGCTAGTTTCCCAAAGTATAAGGCAGCTACCTGTCCTGCCTTGGCCAAAGTACTGGAGAAAATTTAGTGAGAGCATATTATCACACAATTAGCCCTTGAGAGCCTGGCTTTCAGGGGTCAACTTCCCTTGAAATCTGGATCTACAGATCTGCTAACACTGTCTTCTGTAGGACAACATCTAACATCTCCTGAGTGTAGCATGCTGATCACTCATGTCTATGGGCAAAGTCTGCCTTACTCAGGCCATGTCTTCCCAAGGTGCAAAGAAAGGGCTCAGCTCTTCCTTGGCTGTGCTCTCCAAGACCTCTCATCTGGGATGTATCTGTTACCATGCACACATCTAAGTCCTCTTCAGTTTTGTCATACTCTAAAAGCATCTGGGGCAGCAAGTTAATGAGTTTGACAAGAAAGCATGGGGACTAGAATTTGTTTCCCAAGATCCCCTGTACATGATGCATTTGCATTTTGGCCCCTGTTATTCCAGGCTCAGAAAGTTGAGTCAAGGGATCATCCATAGAGCAAGGTGTCCAGCTAGACAAGCTCTGGGCGTGGATGAGGGGCTCTGTCTCAATGAATATGGGAGAGCAACCAAGGAAGATTCCAGATATCAATTTAGGTGCTCACAAGCACAAATTACAACCCCCCACATATGTATGCCCAAACACATGCAAAGATGCACACACACATGTATTCAAAACACACATATACATGTAGGAAGAAGAAAAGGCCAATAAAAATCCACATAAAACTGATAGAATGGAAAATATTCTACTTAGTGAACCATGCAACATTTTTCCCTGTTATTTGTGGATCATATAACATATAATCATATATTATGTGTATGATACTTATATTTAGATTTGTATGTTTAATTTGTCATTTTTAAAGTTTCTTTTAAGTTACATTTTGAGAATTAACTACATCCATACCATATTTACATCATTTCCACCCTTCTTAGTCTCCCCTCCAATTCCTCCTGTGTCCCCTTCTTTCCTCTCAAATTCTCCTTTTCTTCTTTAATGATTGCTACATCCATCCATCCATCCATACACACATACATACATACATACACACATGCATGCACATACACATTCTGCCGAGTCTATTCCACGTTGCTGTTGTGTATTTAATGTTGACCACTTGGGACTGGATAACCTACAAGGGACTCATCTCTGGAGAAGACTGAGTCTCTCTTTCTCAGCATCCATTAATTACCTGCATCAAAGAAATTAAAATATTTAGGAATAAGCCTAACTAATAGGTTAAAAACTTCTACAATTAAAACTTCAAATCCCTGAAGAAAGAAATTGAGGAAGACACTAGAAAATGGAAAGAACTCCCATGCTTGTAGATTGGCAGAATATTGTGAAAAATGAGCATTTTGCCAAAAGCAACTTACATATTCAATGCAATCCCAATCAAAATGCCTACAACATCTGCTAAAAATTTTTAAACGTTTTTCCTTTTTAAGAAAGATTATTATTTTATTTATTTATTTATTTATTATGTATACAGTGTTCTGTCTGCATGTATGCCTGTATGCCAGAAGAGGGCACCAGATCTCATTACAGATGGTTGTGAGCCACCATGTGGTTGCTGGGAATTGAACTCAGGACCTCTGGAAGAACAGCCAGTGCTCTTAACCTCTGAGCCATCTCTCCAGCCCAAGAAAGATTATTTTATTTCATGTGTAGGAGTATTTTGTCTGCATGTATGTATGTGTACCATGTTTGTGCCGGGAGCCCAGGAGGTCACAAGAGAACAATGATTCTGAAACTTAAGTTACAGATGGTTCTGAGTCACTGTGTGGGTGCTGGGAACTAAACCTGGGTCCTCAGCAAGAATAAGAAGTGCTCTTAACCACAGAGCAATTTCTTTAGTCTCTGCACCCAACACATTTTTTCTCCTGTTTTTGCTTTTGTTTATTCAATAGAGTCTCTCTCTGTATCACTGGCTGTCAAGAAAGTCACTATGTAGATAGAACAGGCTGGCATTGAACTCTCAGAGATCTGCCTCCTGAGTAGTGGGATTACACACGTGTGTCACCATGCCCTCTTCACCACAACACTCTTCACAGAAATAGAAAAAAAAATCCTAAAATTCATATAGAGCCTCAAAAACCCTAGACAGCCAGAAGAATCCTGAGCAAAACAATGCTGGAGGGATTACCATTCCAGGTTTCAAGATTTATTACAGAGCTATAAATAAAATCACAAATTTGGCAGGTAAATGGATATAACTAGAAAATATTATATTAAGTGTGGTTACCCAGACCTAGGAAGACACACTCATGTTCTCTCTCACTTGTGGTTCCTAGCTCCAAATCTTCAGATGTTATTACATAGCCTTGAGTCACTGCAGAAACCAGGGAAGGGAAAAGGAACCATGGGGTGGGAAGGAGCTCTAGAGAGGGGAATAGAATGATACAGGTTCTATGAAAAGGGAAATTGGAAAAATGAAGTTAAGGGCTTTAATTGGAGAGAGGGAAGGAGGACAATATAGAAATAGAAGGAGGGATAAACAACACTAAGGATATTATTTAGGGAATTACATTGTTTCATATGTACTTAAATTACATATATTACTTCTAAGTGCACGTGTATACACACCTATGCACACACATATGCACACACACATTAATGAAGATATTCCATTTGGGATGACATTGCTTCCACAAAAGCCATAGACTATCTAACATAAACTCTAGAAACAGGCATGAGAAGCCTTCTTTTGAGTTGTTAGTCTAGGGAGTAGAAGAAACTGGCTGAAGCTGAGACAGGAGCCTACCCTCTTCTTGGGGTCCAGCCCAAGAGAATAGACCTTGGAACTTCAGGGCCTGCATAATCTCTGAGATTTTCAGTTCCCACTCGTGTTTTGAGTTGAACTCTGAATGCCAGTTACACTAGGCTCATTGGTGACCCCATGGGTTCCAGGTTCCTTGTGTCAAATGCAGTTTCAGCACCGCAGAGCCCGGAGGGATCATTTCTAGCCTGTGACTCTTAGCACTCCACCATGGCCCCTCTGCCTTTCCACTTAAGTCCCCTATCCCAAGTCCCCATACAGGTGGAGGCTCACCCATGAAGAAACATCATCTATGTGGACTTGAAGTCCCACCCACAGCCCTCAGCTCAGCTTGTCTTTGCTTCTGAATCCAGACTCCTCAGGTTCCAATTTAAAAAGTTTCCCCTTTAAGATCTGTAAGTGTCTCCAAGTCTCATGGTCTGAGCTCATGGTTCAAGGTTTCTGTCCAGCTAAGGGATGTATGTTGGGTGTGTTTGTGGATCTGGGAAATGAAGAAGAATGTGCAATGGGAAGGATACAGTGATTGTGTTTGTCAGAGAGGCAGCCGTAGAAGCCAAACAAGCAAGGGTGTGGTCCTTCCTGCTCACCCTCATACCCTTCTCTGTAGTCTCATGGGGAGAAAGACACTGTCACAAGTGCTGCTGGGAAATGGTCCTGCTCTGGGACCATGAAGTCCACACAGCTGTCCTGGTTCTACACTAGTCCTCTGTGGGAGTCTGTATTCCTTTCTGAGCCTCAGCTCCCTCATGTGGGGCTCTGAGCCTCTGTCCCACAAGGTTATGAAATATAATAAGAGCATCAGCAAGCACATGGGCTTGTATTTATAATTACTGAACATTTATTGAATAATATATTGTTTAATATTCAATGTGGATTATCACTTTACTTGCACAGTCTAGGGAGACAACTGTTTACCTTCCCATTTTCCAGATGGAGACTTCAAGGAGGGTTGTAGTCTGCCTCTGCCCAGCTCCAAGTCTGGGCTTATAACTTCAGTGTCACTAAGTACTTCTCTTGGGAGTTGGCTTGATCCCTGTGTCAGCCTCCTCAGAGCCCTTTTGAATGCCTGCCTCTCCTCACTACAGCTTCTGACTGCTTTTCACAGGGGCTATGAGGACCACATGAGAGCCTGAAATGCATAGGTGTACAAAACTGTGTGTGGCTTAGCATTCAGTTACAGCTTTTCTGAAAGCCTTCCTGTTCCAGCCTCTCCTGGGACCTGTGAACTCTTTTAACAGGTTGCCTGCCCAGGAAACCTGTCAGGAGGGCTCAGTGGTAATGAAGGGGTCACTGTAGTGGTGGGTTGGGGTCTTTGGTGTACTTACTTTGCATTAAGTCCTCCTCTGACAGAGAAAAAGGCTGCTGCATCTCTAGGTCTGTTTCCAGGTGTGGTGGGAGGGGTCCAAGAGCTTTTGACCCTTATGCTGAGCTTCCTCTTTGGCACTAGCCTCTTGGGACTGAGCTGCTCCTGTGTTGATAGGGCCCCCGGATCATGCCTGACTGTGCAGCGCTTGTCCATACAGCTTCATGTTTCCCTTCTCTTGTTGCTCCAAGCAGGAGGCCAGTGAATTCTTGTCTCTGTCAGCCATTTCTGTGCTGGGAAAAGGTGTTTGATTGGAACTGATAGAGGAGAGCTGGAAATAAAAGAAAGAGTAGAGTAGCCTTTACTGGGACAATTGTCCTCTGGTCAGGACATCTGAAGGACTCCAGTCTCTCCTGGGGATGGAGACTGTGTGTCCAGGTGCAGGGCTTGGGCTTTATAGGGCAGAAGAGGGAACTCTGGGAGGAAAGTTTATCAGTGGATATGTTCTCTGTAGTTTCATGAATGATGTCAGTGGGTGTTCTCCTTACTGCGCTGACTTTCCTGTCAGGCAGGTGTGCTTATCATTATGTTGAGTTGGGAGTTCTTAGCTTGTCCAAGGTTTCTTCTTTAGGTTATTAAGATCATTTATCTGACCCTGAGGACAGAGAAAAAGAAGGGGAGGTGTATTCTCTTACTGGCTCTTTCCTGTGAGAGGAGGAGATGGAGGTGGTGGTAGGGTCTGTCCCTAGGATTTAAGGGGGTGTAGGTTGTGGAATGACTTCAGGTAACAGGAAAAGAGTTTGAAATTGATCTGCTGAAGTGGAGACACATGGCAAAGTGTGGGGAGTCAGACAGACCCAAGACTTTCCCAGAGGTCCTGATGAACAGACAAAAGGACATTAGTTCTGTCTTTGTCTAGGGGTGGACCTAGCAAGGATGGCCTGATGTTGGAGCCAGTGACTCAGAGGATGTTGTGCCTTCTGGGGACCTGACTCTTCCCCCTGGGCTGTGGTTATGAGTCCTAAGGCAGCTGTATCTGAGACATCCTGTATTCTTTCTGCTAACATTGTCTGACTTAGATCTCTTTTGACCTTGGCCACTTTCCCCTGCAAATAGTTTATATGATGTTGTACTTTTAAACAAATTTGCATGGCATAAGTCATCAGCTTAGGCAACACCTACTGGCCCAAGCTGCTACTTTCGTCTTCTTTATTTCTCATCCTCAGGCTTCCCACAAAACCCCTCACCAATGGAGTCCCTTATTCCTGCAGCTTCAGGTCAGACAGGAGAGAGGAGGGTGCAGGATAGACTATGACAGGAACAGGCACATGAAGCACACAGGGGAATCCAGCCACCTCCCTCTCACCAGAGCTGACCTGCAGATTCTCCAAACAGGGCTGGAGCCTGGGCCCTGGCTCTCAGGACGGGTCACCCATGTCTGCCACAGTATGCTTTAGTGCCGTTGGGCCAGGATTTCCTTCCCACAACTCAAATGGTTTGGTGGACTCTGTTGTTCCCACTACTCACCCTGCTCTTCTAAGAGGCTCACTGATGTGTGTCCCACGCCAAGGCTCCTCAGCTAGTCAATGTATTCTTTGAAAGTGAAAGAAACTCTGGCCCCTCCAGGAAGCTAGGCATCAGAGAGCCTGCGCAGATGCTCTTCCTCTGAGCTGTGAGAGTGGAGTTTCAACATTACTCAGCTCATTTCCTGTTGTGAAGTTTCTGCAGATGCCTGGGCTGGAGGAGGAGTCAGGCTTGAGAGCTTCAGCCAGGCCTGCAGAGGCCCTGTCTCCTGAGTGCAGGACTCATGTCTGAGCCTCACTTCACTCATCTACTAATGTGGGCCTCCCAGGTTTGCCAACAGGTCCCAGTTTAGCAAAGGCTCCTGGATCTCCCCAGGTTTGTGCTCTGGATCTCTGCACTCCTTCTCCTCTCCGTAGCCTGCCCAGCCCACAGGCTCTTCATTTCAGGAAACAGCTTTCAGGCCCCAAACCCTGGGTCTTTCTCGCTTCTGGACTCTCCTTAATCTCAAATCTGGTATTTGATTTTCATTAACATCATCTTTTTTCTGCAGGTGTGTGGTGTGTGTGCATGTTAATGTGCATGTGGAGTCACATGTGTATGACTTGAGAGCTTATGGATTTGGCTAGTCTAACTAGTCATCCAGCTGGGAGTACTTCCTGTTTCCTCCTCTTGAGCTCTGGGATGACAAGCCTGTAGCCATCCCAGCATGCATTAGTGAGGATGCTGGGATCAGAGCAAATGTCCTCGTGCTTGCATAGCAGGTGGTTTATCCACTGATCCATCTCCCCAGCCCTGACACTGTTTTTTAAACAGATCTGTAATCTGACTCTTCTCACTGTGCCCAGGAGACTGCTGGTCCAGCCAGCATCCTGGGTCTGTGCTCCAGCTTCCTAACTCTCCTGCTGATGCTTCATGGTCTATTCTCAGTCTTGAGGCCAGAGCCACAATCTAATACGTAAGTTAGTTTAAGTCACCTCTTAGTCAAACCTTCCTATCCCTTCTGTCTCACTGTGAGGGAAATACTGGTTCCTGTCAGTGGTCCCGAGCTCTACATGACCTTCTCCATCCCACCCTGCCCTTTTCTGACATTAGATCCCACTTCATGCTCCTCACTCACTCTGCTGTGGGTTATCTGCTCTACCTTTCTATTCCTTGAACACACCAGGAACTTGCTCACCTCACGACCTTTGAACTGGCTTCTCTATTCTTTTGTAATGATTTCCCACTAGTAAGAAGATTGCTCCCTGCTTTCTGAAGTAGTGCTGCCCTTCCAGAATTATCCTCCTTTATTCTTCTGCTTGACACTTGTTGCCACCCAACAGCACAGGCTTGCTTTCTTTCTGTCACTTCTACCTACAAAGAGCATGGAATCTCTGGAATACATGATGAACCATGTTTGTTGATCATTATTTCCCTGGGCCCAAGTTAGTGCCTGACCCACAATATCAGCACAGAGGTGTTCAAAGTCTTTGGGACCTCTTTATTTCTTAATATGAATATTTGTTTAGTGGTATGTGCATGCTGTATGTGTATATGGATGTGGTGTGTGTATATGTGTGTTTGTGTATGCACATGTCATGGATCACATGTGCTAGTCATAGGACAACATTCAGGAGTCAGTTCTCTCCTTCCACTATGTGTAACTTTGTGACTCAATTCTGGACACCAGGCTTGGTGGTAGCTGCCTATTGTGTGACTTTCTTCCTGGGAAAATATGATTGATCCAGGAGGGCCACACCCATTATGGGCAGTGCCACTCCAGGACAGGTAGTCCCAAGCTATGTAAGAAAGCAGGCTGAGTAAACTCTGGAGAGCAAGCCACTGAGCAGCACTCTCCATGACCTCTGCTGCAATGTTCTGGTAAATAGTTTCAGATACCATATATTTTGATCATTGAGACTACTACAACTCCCTCACACAATGATTGAGAATTCTTCTCAGCAGCATTTGCCTTTTGTGTTTTACGAACAGTCATTTTGGCTGTGCTGAGACCCTGTGGTGGTTTGACTGAGTATGGCCTCCATAGGCTTATATATTTGAATGTTTGTCCCCAGTTAGTGGAACTCTTTGTAAAGGATTTGAAGTGTGTCCTTTTTGGAGGAGGTGTGTCACTAGGGGTGGGCTTTGAAGATTCAAAAGCCCACACAGCCCTCACTCTGCCTTGTGCTCATGTATCAGTATGTAAGCTCTCAGCTACTCCTTCAGCACCATGCCTGCCTGCTTGCTGCCATGCTTCTAGCCATGATGGCCATGGACTCCATCCATGAGTTCCAAATACATCATTTAAATTTCATGTGGTCCCATTTGTCAATTTGTTCCATTGTGTCTTGATGAGTAGAGTCCTCTTCAGAGAGGCCTTAGCTCTGCCTGCATTAGGAAGTGTTTTCCCCACTTTGCCTCTTGTAGATCCAGGGTTTCAAGTCTTGTGTTAATGTCTTTGGTGCATTTGGAGTTGAGTGCTCTGCAGGGTGAGAGGAGAGGATCATTCTTCTACATGCAGGTATCCAGTTTTTCAGCACCACTTGTTAGCAAGGCTTTCTCTTTGCCAATGAATAAATACCTTTGTCACCAATGAGTGTTTTTTTTTCATTTTATTTTACTTTAGAAAAACAAAACTTTTATTTTCTATCATCTAAAACATTTTCCATTTAGAACATTCTTGTTCAATAGATTATTTTAAGCTCGAACATATGTGATAAGTTTTTCAAGAAATACATTACAATAATTTCAAGTTGTGTTATTATAGTATGAAAACACTGCCATGATACATGATTACTATAAAACAACATGGTTGGCTTTATAAATCTTAGTCTGTTTTGATAAGGTGTGGTCCCAGATTTTGAAAACTACACACTTCCTAGATGTACTTTGTAGAATCATCTCTAACATCTCTTGAACTGTTTAAACTTAAGACAAGAAAAGAAACAATAAAATTAAATTTCTTGAGTTTAAATAACCTGATAATATGTTTTAAATAGTATTTCATTATATACATTTTCACACTTAGTTTGTATCTGCGTCTAGTGTATAGTCTCACCTGTGTATGCTCAAATATTTGTTGATCAACTGTTGTATGACTTTTCTGGGGAGATGTAAAATTAATATCTGCCCCTAACTTCTGACCATCCCACTGTCCAAAGAATGACTTATTAAGCTCATCTTTATGAATAGAAATAAATTTATTCAAGATTACTAATGGAGCAATGGAAGACCACAGACATTTGCATGGATCCCTCCCCTGAAGTTGCCCCACCTTCTCTTACTTTTTTTAGTATTTTTTTTAATAATTAACTTAATTTCACATATCAGCCACGGATTCCCTCATCCTCTCTCCTCCCACCCACAGCCCCCCCCAATCCACCTCCCACTCCCACCTCCTCTAAGGCAAGGTCTCCCCTGGGGAGTCAGCCCAGCCTGGCAGACTCAGCCAAGGCAGGTCCAGTCCCCTCCTCCCTACACCAAGGCTGAGCCAAGTGTTTCAGCATAGGCTCCAGGCTCTGTCTGCCCCAGAATTGATGGAAACTTTCGTTCCTAGCGCCACCTAGTGTGAAGTGGCAGAGGTGACACCAGGCTCACAAGACCCTTCCCAGGGTCTCTGAAGGTTCGCTTGTTTTGCTGCAGTTAGGCATGTTGGGAACTGCAATCAGGCTTGCTGCAAGATGGAGGTGACGAGGATTCAGAGGGCTGGATCATTCACCAGCTGTGTCCAGACCAACATGGCTGCCACATCTGGAAGGAAACACTGCACACTTAAGTAAAACACACTTCCTGCATGGCCATGGCTTTTAATGCAACCATGAACCTATGGTAGCTCCTGCCACTAGAGCTTATGGACAATTTTATAGGGTCAAGAATTGACACCGTGGTGAAAAGTGATAAAGAAATTGTTGATACATTTCTTGGATATGATGACTTTGTCAATATTGTGTTGAAGATGTCATAGTTTGAAATTACACCAGAAGGAAAAAGGATACAAAATTAGACCAGATTTTTCTAAATGGAAATAATGTAACAGTGCTGGTTCCTGAAGAAGCAAAGCTTGAAGTAACAATGAATTTCCTTGAGTTATGCTAGATTCTGGTTTCTTTTCAACTGTTAGTATTTAGATTTCATGGAGGGAAGTTTCCATTAAAGGGAAGTACTTTGAAGATATGTGTCAGGTCCAAAGGAAACTCTAGTCTCCAAATTTCTAGTGCCCTTTTTTCTCTCACCGGGCCATTCTTCATCATTGTCATAAGGGACAAAAGGCTATCTGTGGTGCTTATGGGCATACCAAAGCACATGCTGGCCTCCAGGTTCACCCAGTACCTGTGGTTCTTCTCAGGTCTTCTCATCCTGGCCCCTAGCCTACACTTCTCAAGGATTCATGAGTTTCCCTTCCCCAGCTCCTCATTCCTGCACAGCCCTGTCCTTTGGGTCCTGCGCTTTCTTTTTGCCCTCTCTTTTGTCTTCCCCCTTTGGCCCTCCTCTCTTGCTTTCCCTGAGTCCTCTCATGATCAATTCCAGTCTGTTGACCATGTTTAGTCTGCAACTTTCTCTCCATGCTATGGACTCTTCCAGATGTCCCTGGCTGTTCTCTTCCTTATATCTCCAATAAAACTTTCCCCTCAACCATACCTTGGAGTGGTCCTGTGCTTACTTTGTATAATATACACCCAATTTTCTGAGCTAATCATAATTATTTTGGGGGAAAAAGCTAATCATTAATTATTTTTGAGGAAAAAATCATTTTTGCCTAAAAAAAAGTATTTGTGGCTTAAAAAAAAAAGGAGGGATGTAGGTAGGCAGGCAGGCCTCTCAGGCAGCAGCCTAGGCTGATCAGTTCAGCTACCATCTGGGCCCAGATCCAGCACTTAGAGTCATTCCACCCCAACATCTACTCCAACTATGAGCTGTTGGAGCATGTGAATGAGCTGGTGCTGCTTTGGCAGAGGGCCATCTTGACGTCCACGGTCTGTACTGCCACCAGAGACCAAGTGTAGGTTCTTAACATGTGCTGATGCTGGATACCATGTGGCTGTTCGTGGTCCATGCCGTCACCATAAACCATGTGGAAGGCCATGATCCATGCTCCTGGTAACTGTGAAGGGAAATGAAGCTACTTTTGCAGTGGTACCAATGACTGCAGACTCACAGTTCAGAAAGATGGACATAGAAGGCTTCTGTGACAACCCCTATCCCCAAGCCCCCTTTAAAACAGTAACAGCCTAAAAAGGAAGCCATCAAAGAGAACTCTTAAAATTTGTAATAAGGATGCTGAAGTGTAGCTCTCCACAATTGATGGCATCTGCTGGGGGTATAAGTGGTGAAGGACTCAGTTTTCTTTAAGGGAATGGCCACTGGGAGTTTAACCATGCTCCAGTGAGTGTATGGACAACACAAATTGGACTTGTATTTTTTGCTTTATTTTCTTTCTTTCTTCT